ACGAAGGAGAGAAAGTCCTTTGATTATCACAACAGGTGCCGCTGACGTTGTGACTAGGCGAGTTGCCTTAGAGTGCATTACTAACGGATCTAGTGCAGCGAGCTGTCATACGATGGGATACGATAATGGACTGTATTGCGGGATTCCAGGCTCCCATGGGGCTGGAGCACGTTGCAGAGATCAAGGCTATCGCTACGGGAAGGCAAACAGGCCAAGGACGGGGGCACTTGTGTCCAGCAGTTGGTAGACCCAACTGGAGTTAAGCCTGGTTGGGTTCTTTGTTGTTATGAAATCAGGAAAACGCAGACTCGTGGAGCTCGAGTGCAGCGATACCAGGACAGTCAGCCAATGTCTCCGTGTTCTCTGCACCTGATTTGCTCGCCACACGTTCTACAGCTGTTTCAAACCGTTGTGGCGTTCGATGTCGGGACGCTACACGCACCATCCATCGTGCGGCTCGAAATCATACAACGGGATCTTCGCCCTGAGTGGCTTGTTTACGACGGCTTCAAAGGTTAGGCGGCAAACATACTGTTCAGAGGCCAAAGCATCGACGTCAAGCATATTCTCTGACTTTGATCAGTCTGAATTCGAACAAACGAACCGACGTACGTATCTGGACATTCTACGATGGATACACCTGCAAAACGTGGTGGATTCAGTTGCAAGACCTCGAGACAGTTGTGTCCATCGCCAACCGCCTCACAGATGATTGCGTGACACGAGATGTATCTGCTCCTATCCGTCTTGGCGTCAGGTACACATCATAGAAGATCCTGGCCCGCAGAGGGGGTTTGAACCTGCTCGATGCCCGCTGTCAACTTGTAACTCGTACACATTTCTTGACACTACTACTGCACATATGGGACACGGGCTGACGGGATAATGGCACAATGGCGTGGGCTAAACGTGGACACGGTTTCCATGGATGGGTCGAAGCTCCGCTTTCACTCCCGACGTTTTGCAGCCTTCAACCTGTCGGGTGCTCCAGTCTGGGAAGGCGGCAAGCACACCGTTATGGTGTTCTGCTACAGGTCCATCTATGTATTCCAGTCCGAAGAAATGCATTGCGCCAGTCCAGCGGCTAAGCTAACGATCAGGGATCTGTCGACCGTTTACAGCTTCCATGCGAACAAAGGCGGCAGGCTTCTGGACTATCGGAGAAGCTACTGAGCAGGCCGCCGAGTGGCGTCTATCAACATGGTCAATACGCTACCACATTTGGCCATATGGCTCATGCGCGCTTGCGCTGTCACACCTGGTTTGCCCAGATATATCGACACGGGGAGTGTCACTGCATTGTCTTCCAATACATACCTGAAGCAAGATGAGTGGCATGTGCTGTACATCATCCCATGGTCTAATAACACGAATGTGCCGTGTAGAGTCCCCACTGGCTTTGCGTCCTCTGGCTTCGCCCAAGAAACTGCTGTCGTCAAGAAACGTCGAGCACCTCCTTCTTTCGTGCTGACAGGCAGTCCTTGCTCTGTTGATCTCTTTTTCCTTTCGTGAAATCTGCCACGTTCTCTGCTCGTCCGGTGTCCGATGTGCTGTCGACCATGGGCTTCTTCAGATCATACCTAACCCCCGCTAGCAAACATGAGAAGTCGACCGTCACGCAGAGCTCTGCCAAGGGGGTCGATATCAAGCTAGGCAAGAGGGACAGCCAGCGGGAGCCCAAACAATCGACGGCCTCGTCGAAGGACATACCAACGATAGACATTCAGACAGCGCAGGATGACGACCAGAAAGAGAACGGATCACAGCCAGCGCTCATGTTGGCACCGCCAACACCGAACGGACATGGCTTCAGGGGTTCTCAGGCGACCTCGGTTTCAGGATCCGAGGAAAGGAGATCTCGGCCGTCTTCTGTCCGTAACTCGATATTCCCCATGGTGGACATGCGCGGGTCGACCGTCAGCTTGAACGACATCAAGAACGACATGATGGTCAAATGGCTGTACGAGCAACAACTCCGCAAACACTATGCCAGCGGACACGACCCTTTCGAGGGTGCCGTGCTCAAGAAGGGTCGCGGCGATTTCACCTGCTGCCCACCGCAGATGAGTCTTATTCCCAACTCACTATACGAGATGGTCACGCACATGAACGTGCGGTGTGCCATGACTATCAACACGCCTGTTGTCTGCGCCATCATGGGCTCTGTCCGACGTACGGCAGCGGACATCGACCATGTTCCGTTGCCAGAGGGCCTGCGTGTGCAGATTGTCCGGACCATGGCTGACCTTCCCCGGTGCAAACTCCATCACTTTGCAGCCTTCATTGAAGACATTGGACTGCTCGTGGTCTGGGACGATGATGCTGAGAAGCTGCTGCAACGCGCGGCCTTTCTCGAAGCACAACTGGTCTTGATCATCTGGGGCAACGGAGACGATGAAGGATACGACACACCGGCCGAGAAGCCGGAATACATCGACGCAGCTGATCTCGATCCAGCCCAGCTGGAGGATGCTCTCGCACGGGAACACAGACCGGTGATGCTTTGGAGCGCGGCCATGGTCATGTGCACGCTGGCGCTGTGTCTCACCTGTATTGGGCTCGGGTGGAGATGGCTGGTGCTGGAGATCATGGTGGATAAGAACTACATCCGCGTGGCCTTCCTAGTTGTGGCGCCGTTGCAGTTCTTTGTCAGCCTGGTAAGCCATCTACACGCTGCTCAGTTGATATGGCACTGGTTACACGCTCACTAACACTTCCCAAGTTCTTCTTCCAAGCTCTCATCGGCAACCTGTTCCAGATATTCGGCCCCATATCTGCGGTCAATTCCAACAGCAAGTACTACTCGGGGAAACCTCCCCGTCGCCTGAACCCAAGGACCCGCATCTTACCTCATGTGTCGATTCAGATGCCTGTCTACAAGGAAGGCCTCGAAGGCGTCATCATGCCCACCGTTGTCTCTCTAAAACAAGCCATCAGTACATACGAGATGCAAGGTGGGACAGCCAACATTTTCGTCAACGATGACGGCATGCAGATCATCTCAGAAGACGAAGCACAGGCTCGTCGCGACTTCTACGATGAGCACAACATCGGCTGGGTCGCTCGACCGGGCCATTGCCCGATACCAGATGTCGAAAAGGGAGAGAAGCTGTTTGTTCGGCGTGGCAAGTTCAAGAAAGCGAGCAACATGAATTATGCTTTGATGGTCAGCAACCGAGTAGAGGAGAAGCTGGCAGCAGTTGAGAGGGGACCCAAGTGGACACAGGATCAGGAGAATGATGCGTACAGAAAGTGCCTCGCTGACGTGATTGCCGAAGACGAGAAACGGACATGGGCCGAGGGTAACATCCGAATTGGTGACTATATCTTGATCATCGACTCGGACACCCGGGTCCCCAAGGACTGCCTCCTAGATGCGGTCAGCGAGATGGAGCAGAGTCCGGATGTGGCCATCATCCAATTCTCATCTGGAGTCATGAACGTTACGAACTCCTTCTTTGAGAACGGGTGAGTTTCACTTTAACCCCTATTGTCCTCTTTGACCCATCTGTCTAACATGGATTAGCGTGACCTGGTTTACCCGCCTGATCTACACAGCCATTACCTTTGCCGTAGCCTCGGGCGATGCGTGTCCCTTCGTCGGCCACAATGCCATCCTCCGCTGGCGTGCGATCCAAGACGCCGCCTCCTACAGAGACTCAGACGGCTACGAGAAGTTCTGGTCCGAGTCCCACGTCTCCGAAGACTTCGACATGGCCCTTCGCCTACAAGTTCAAGGCTACTCCCTCCGCTACGCGTCTTATACGGGCAGTGGGTTCAAAGAAGGTGTCTCACTAACTGTCTATGACGAACTCGCCCGCTGGGAGAAATACGCCTTTGGCTGCAACGAGCTGCTCTTCCACCCCCTAAAATCCTGGCCCACGCGGGGTCCCCTGACGCCGTTGTTCCGACAGTTTCTATTCAGTTGCATCCCGCTGCCGAAGAAGTTGACGATTGTGGCGTACATCGGGACGTATTACGCGATTGCCGCGGCGTGGAGTCTGAGCATTGCGAACTATTTCATTACCGGCTGGTTCAACGGGTACTATGACAAATACTACCTCGACTCGTTCGCGATTTATGTTAGTATCATAACCGTGTTTACTGGGTTGGGCAATGTGGCGCTTGCGGTGCTTCGTTACCGGCTGAATGAGCAGGGATTGTTGGGGTCTTGTATGTTGTTTTCCCGTTCCCCTATGCTGTGCGCTGTTGTGCTGGTCGAAAACAAGCTGACAATGTCTCTCGTCTAGTCTTCGAAAACCTCAAATGGATCCCCATGTTCACAATCTTCCTGGGAGGCCTCTCCGTCCACGTCTCCCAAGCCATTCTCTGTCACTTCTTCAGCATCGACATGAACTGGGGCGCCACCGTCAAGGAATACGAAGAGGTTCATTTTGGGACGGAGTTTGTCAAGATCTTGAAGAAGTTCAAGTTCACCTTTCTCTTCTGCTTTGCCTGTACCGGCTTGCTGGTGGCGGGGTATTTCTTCTTTCCCCAGGGTTATGAAGTCCGGACTTTGTATGCGATTTATCCCTTGGCTAGTGTGGTAGTCGCGCACTTTGCCCTGCCCGTGTTGTTGAATCCTGCGTTGATGATGTTCACCTGGTAGAAGAGCAAGGTCGGTGGAGCCGGGAGGAAGCGCTTTTCTCATATTGTATAGGCGGGACATTGCTTGGTAATGGTTGATATAGAACAGAGTACATGGCGAACAAACAGGTGGTTGGACTTGGAACTTGGACTTAGGTAACGTAATGTCTAGACACAACTTCTGGTAAACATTTGGTTATCGCACCTGCATTTCAGCTGTGTATATATTAGGTCAATTCCTGAATGTGTCGCCGTCATGCCATCAACAACATCCTCTTGAAGTGCAGATTGAAAATAAAGGTAAAGGATGGATGGAATAATAAGAATGTAGACCTAAAGGGCTGTGTCGTAACAGGTTAAGGTCCGAAGCAATATAGGCTAGTGTGTTGAAAGGTCTTAGCAAATTCGGAAAAACCCGGTTAGTGCAGTGGTTAGCACGCGGCTCTTATACTCCTTTCGCTTGCGAAATCAGATATGCCGAAACGCCAGTTCAAACCTGGCACTGGGTAATCCTCTTTTTGCTTTTTTTTTCCCTATCCTTCAGTCCACATCAGCCAAGTAACACATAAAACTGATACACAGGTGAACAAATTGAGCCTTTGTGTACGTTTCACAAACCTCCGAGATCCGAGTTTTCACACGGAGTCCGAGGCGCAACACAACATCCGTCATGCTTGTATGCGCAGTGATATCCTTCGACATGTTACGACGTCTACATGTGCTCAGCCACTTCCTCGTTCCTGGCCGCAACCTGAAACTAGGCGCTTCCCAAGTTTTTCTAGTCCATTCGCTTCGGCATGGAGTAGATGCCGTCTGGGATGTCGCTGATCTTCTGCGTGAAGGATTCAACCGCTGAGGGGAATGCATGCTGAGCTGTCGGCGGTGGACGCAACACTCGCACCTACCGAGGTCGTACGGCCTGAAAATGACTGGGAGACACTGTACAAGAAGAGCGGCCTGATAGACTCCCTACGTCAAGGATTTCATCCTTCCAGCAATCATGATTGGGAATGTTGTGGACGTTGTTGCACTCGGTACGCTTACATGGCCACCACCCCGACGACAACCCTATCATGTCGAGGAGACCTCTGGCGATCACTTCAACAGCACGTCAAAAGAATGCACAAGTGGACAGACTTTATATTGATGCCTTCGCCTCTCACCTTACACGGTCGCATCTCGGCCTCGGAAAGCGCCTTGTACGTTGTCAGACTCGGTCCCGAGCCGCTGCGACTCGATATTGCTTGAACGGCAAAGTCGGCTATGATGGGAGAAAAAAAGGACTTCAATGAGTTCGCCCTATGAGCATGGCAGTTGGCATGGCCTCGAAGAGGACGAAACCGACTATATAAGGGGGGTCCGAGGGTCCCTCAGAGAAACTCACCAGCTCGCTCCTGAACTCATCACCTCCAGCTCAACACTCAAGTTTTGTTTGAAGAACCGCAGCTTCCGCAATGAAGACCGCCCTGATCACCACTTTCCTCCTCGTCCTTGGGACTTCTGCCACCCCTCAGCCCGACTCGGTGAGCATCACCGAGGGGGAGAACACTTATGTCGGCATTGACAAGGTAGGGTGATTCCTTCCCGAGCTCCAACTACAGCAGTGGAGAGCTGACGGTCCCGATTCACCAGGGCCTCTTGACTCTCCGCGGACTAGAGGGTCGCTGCAGCTGCGCGCCGTGCTATTCGCCGCACGCGGATTGCCAGGCTGGGAGATGCCAGTGCGCAGGTAACTACGGCTGTTGGTCGTGCAATGGAGGCCGCACTCAGTGTCAGCCCGGCCCTGGATCTGGCCAATGCTGGACTTGAGTTTTTTTTTTTTTGAGATCACCCCTCCAGCCAGGAGGGCCAGCTCAGTGGAATCATTGGAGATAGTCGGTCATTACCTATACGTCAGGTCATGAAGGATACACTGTCACTACCTGTAGGACAAATATAAGCCTGTCTCTCGTTATGACGTTGTAGCAGGGAACTGAGTACCTGTACGAAGTACATACCCTCGTGTTCTTAGGCCTTCAGTATCAACTGGAAGCTACCTCCTCAAGTACGTATGATCAGATACATGTCGGAAGTCGGCGCAGAAAACACACATCGGTAGTTATCATTCTATGTGCCTTTGCCCATGAAGGGTGTGATCGTAACCATTTTGCACGCAGGCTCGCGGCACGACGTCAATGCGTGCCACGCAGCCGCATACAGCCGCTGGCGATGAGCTCTGCGATTTGTACACTTAGTCCCGTACGATTACCGCAGGACGAGCTGCAAATGAGGATCGTACGGGAGGATAACCACCATCTACGATTCAAGCAATTCTGCTTCGACAGTACAGCAGGCGTACGCGCGAAATATACCGCCGGTCCTTCCAGGTTCCACTACATCTACAAAGGCTGCGTCTCCACTATTTTTTCACCACAGCAACAGCACAACTCCGAACCTCACCTCAATTCAGTCACAACCCCCTGAGTGAAAACTTAACACACAACTACCCCTAGATTTTGCCCTACAGTCTTCTTATTGACCATGGCATCACCCGTAAAGCTGAACATAATCGGGCAGCACCTCTCCATCCCCGCCGTCCCGCTCACCCAAACCTCCTTTTCCCCCTTCGGCTCCGTCATCACCAACCCCCGTCCAGACCTGCATCCTTCCCCCTCCCTCGGCGCCCAACAACTCCACAACGTGCCTCACTCACCCATAGTCGTCAACCAAGGCACCGCCATCAAGTACCAACATGTCTCCCCCATGCTCAACCTCTACCCTTCCGCCCCCTCCGGCAAGGAAGGCGTGGCCGTCATGAACATGTTCTCCTGCGCGGGCCGTCGGCTAGAGCCAGTGGACGGCTGGAAGGAGATTGGTAGGGGAGGTGGGCGGATGTTTCGCGTCGAGATCCTGGAACGACATCCCTACACCACGCAGACATTCATTCCATTATCCTCCTCAAAGAGAGGGGCGAGATATCTGGTCATCGTGGCGCCGTCACTCCCGCCCTCGCCAGAAGACGAGCATCTCCCGGTTCCTGCAGCGGAGGGTGACGATGATGCTAGGACGGTGGGTTTGGGTAGGCGCGGGCTGCCGGATCTGAAGGGACTAAAGGCTTTTGTGGCGACGGAGGGGATGGCCGTCACGTATGGCGCGGGGACGTGGCATGCGCCTATGGTGGCGTTGGAGTCTGGGAGGGAGGGGAGGGAGAAGGTGGATTTCGTGGTGGTGCAGTTCGCGAATGGGGTTGGGGTGGAGGATTGTCAGGAGTGCGTGTTTGTGGGGGGTGAGGTGGTTGTTACGCTTCCGGAAGAGGAGGACGAAGGGAGGGAAGAGAGGGAGAGGGCGAAGCTTTGAAGAGCCGTTTTCGAAATTTGAGGTTGGAGATGTATGAGCAGGACGTGAACGGGGCATCGCGACTAGACGTCCACAACGAACGTGACTTTGGGATGAGACCTTGCAGACTGAGGACTGGGATGAGATGCGCAAAACACAGAGAAGCTTGACGGCTTGGGTAACCAGGCTACATTCCAGCGTTGAACTCCCTTTCTTTGCGCCGACACGACAATACCTTATTCAGCTTGCTTCAGAACCCTTGGGCCAAGCTTCGAAAGGCCGGCCCGGATGGTTCTCCTCCTCAATCCTTCGGTCTGCCGCCGATCTTGGCCAACTTAGCTTTGCCCACCAAACCACCCACCATCCCTCCAACAAGCCGTGGCACTGGCCGAGTTCGTATAAGTGGTGTATTGTGTGATACTGTGTGTCACGATCAGTCAAAGGCGGGCATTATTGAGTATCGGGATAAGATCTTGGGCAAATTCTGCCAGATAATAGAGGTCAGAACTTACCCAACATAAACCGTGCCTGTGACCTGGGTAGTGATGTACACAATGCTGGACTGCGTGGTTGTGGACGGTTTACCACGTGTAGACGTAATGGTCGTGCCTGGACTTCCGCCCGAGCAGATTGTTGTCGCCGGTGGCGTGCTGGAGTTATGTTAGGCACGGAGCAGGGATGAGAATGTGGAATGGCAAGGGGAAGAGAAAGAGCATGCTTACATAGTCAGGGTCTTTGTTGCAACGACTACTCTTTGTGTCAGTTTGAAGAGCCCATTTGACTACGTGGAAACGTGTCTTACCGGTCTCTGTTGTGGTCCTAGCAGGGATAGTCGTAACGACAGTCTTGGTAACGGTATAGGTGGTCTCGGTAACCGTGCTCGTAACGGCCGCCACCTTGTTGGCCGCCCTCTGCTCGTGATCCCCAACGCGTCGCCTGAGTGCCGTGTCTTTTCTGTCTGACTTATCCGTCCGATCTGCAACAGCAGCAACACCTGTATTAGCAGCACTCGGCGGCTTCTGTCCCGGACCCCAACCCCAGCCGCCACCGCCAGGTCCGCGCGTCCAAGTTGGCCAACAGCTCCCAATACACCAGGTTGGCGGAGCAGTGGTGGGGAAAGGGTCATTGTCTGGGATAGTGGTAAACCCACCTGGAGAACTGTAATGGCAGGAGGCGGTAGCAGTGATGGTGGTGGTGTAGAAGCTCGTCTTCTCGGTGTCGGCGGTGGATGTACGGATCACGGTGGAGGTGATGGTTCGGGTTGACGTTGGGGCAATAACAGTCACCGTCTTGGTGGCGCCGGCGCAGGTCGTGGTTACGTTTGGACCGACGATGATGAGGGTCACGGTTTGGTAGATGGTGCTCTGGATGGCTGGAGATGCTGGTCAGTATCACGTCTTGTACTGTTGAGATGAGGCTGCGTTTACTGGATGCTTTGGGCGTGCTGGTTATGCCAAGCGTAACGGTTGGGGTCGCCTATGTTACGATTGAACGCTGTGAGTGGGAACATCATAGACTACTGGCCCCAGGTTATCACGTACGGTTACCACCGTGGTCTGAGGAACGCCGACTGTCAAAGTGATGACACGCTGGACGGCGATCTGGCTGCTCTGCAGGATGATCCTCCATGTCCCGGACTGCATGGAAGAGAACGGGATGCCACTAGGAGCCTCACATTAGTGTCTTGTGAAGCGGCAGGGTGTTTTAGACCAAGGTACCATGTGGATGTCACCTGACTGCCAGCGGGAGTAGTGTTGATGTTTGAGCAAGCATACTGGTTGCCGTCGGGACCGACCAGTACGGGGCTAAGAGTCTCTTGGGTGCAACCTGGACCGAGACGGTGACTTCAGTTGAAAGTGTTTAAGTGTAAAAGGTCAATATGCCTAGACTAACCCTGGAAGACGGTATTGAAGCTGAAGTATTGGTTGGATGACCCATCAATGTAGTATGATCCGCCATTGGAATAGTCCACCCCATAGCTCGAACAGGCTGCGGTATCGGCCGAGACGCGGGCGAGCAGGACGGCTAGGAGCAGCCAAATGGTGTGCAGCACCTTCTCCATGGTAGCAGACGTCATGAGGATATTCACTAGAATCTCCGCTAAACAGGCTGGGAGACGTCATGTCCAGGCTCGTGGTCAGGAGGGACCTGTCCTATTAAGTAGAAGATGTACATCGTGATGGAAGCACCTGGG